AATTCCATTTTGGACTGTTCGTCTGAGAACCATAGCGTGGAACATGTGTATTATGCGAAATGCCTTGTTGTCCAGCTGTAAAGCGATATTCGAGTTCAGAAGTTGCAGATCTGAAACATGCCTATGTGGCGTATGAGATTGATATTGGCGATCATTTTGATTGAGTCATAGTCGAAATCAAGAAAAAAAGCAAGGCTCGACATAAATCATCGGATGGGTTGCGTATGCCTACACATTTTCAGTTCACAATTCAAGTTAGCATTTCCCCCCCACCTTTTTCTTTTCATTTGGGTTGTGCACTAGAACTTTTGTGAATAAAATACTAGAAGACTAAATTATTTTGTAAAGGGGTATATTTTAAACATGTAACATTAATCACTACTGCAATAATTTATGGTTTCATATCAAAGAAGTGTTGTATTGCTGAAGTATTCGACAAGGTCGCCGGTGCTGTTTCGAGTGCGAACGATTGTTTTATCTGCTTCATGACTGTAACGCTATACAGTCTCTCACGCTCGACGGGACTCGCTCTCGGAGAATACAAACCTGAACCAAAATTGAGGTGAGTGTAAAAAAACTCGGGCTGTAATACGTGTTATTTAAAGCGAGGGGCTAAAATAGTGAAAGCGTGTCCAACTTGAAAACAAGGGACCCTCGATTTTTTCTAAGGGGTTGTTAGCCTTACTCGGCAGAACCAGGGCAGTTCCATAACGCAGCCGCGCTGTTCAGAGCGAACAAGCGCGAGAACACGATTGGCTGGGAAATTTGTAGGACAGGGTTTGCGAGCTGTCACAGGTCGCAGGTACTTGTGCGATCCCATTGCCTCGTCATTCTCCAAGTGGGCCCAACTTGATTTTCAAGTTGGACTCAGGTTCACTACTCATGGAAGAACACAGCTGATTTTCTGATTGGTCGAAATTTCTCCCCACCTATAGCTACTATATCAAGGCGTGTTTACTTCGACTACCCGCCAACCACACTTTTCCCATTGCGTGTCCACCTTTTTTATTTTGACTGAACCGCAACCAATCGAGGTCGACAAAACACGGTAACAAACGAACCTCAACGAGGCGCGCTAGCTTGTATTATGGGTATAAACAGAACCCTGTCCACATATCCGAATTTGTCGCGCGGGCAGGTGCTTTTGCTGCTGAATGACTGCCCCCCCCGAACGACGTTTTCTTCTGCCCCCTCGTTTGTCCCCCCTATATCTATTCGAGGGTCCCAATCAAGTTGGGCCCAACTAGAAAGATGGGTCACTATTATAACCTCTCGCTTTAATAGAATATTTAGGTGTAGTTACTGCGCGGACTTGTATTTGGTTAGCTTTCTGGGGCAAAGCGAATACACCCCTGCTAGGGTTTGTTGGTGCTTCTTGTTTCTGCTCGTCCTTCCCTCTTACTGTACAGTACCTAGTTCTTGCTCTTTCGTTCGTGCCTAGTTCTTGCTCGTATAGGTCAGTGCTCACCTGGTTGCTTACACCTAGTTCTTGCTTACGCCTAGTACTTGCTCACGCCTAGTACTTGCTCACGCCTAGTCCTTGCTCACACTGACTTCCTTGCTCATATCTAGTCCTAACTCGAAACTAACTCTTTTCCTTTTCATGCCTAACTGCTACCTGGCGCGGAGCTCGTAACCCGTTTTGCGCTGGCCTGTTTCGGGCTGGCGACTTGCGCGCTGGCGCGTTTCTCGCTGGCGCGTTTCGCGCTTGCGCTTTGCGCACTGGCACATTTCGCGCTGTCATGTGCGCTGGCCCGTTTCGCGCTTGCGCCTTGCGCGCTGACGCCTTGCGCGCTGGTACGTTTCGCGCTTGCGCCTTGCGCGTTTCGCGCTGGTGCCTTGCACGCTGGCGCGTTTTGCACTAACGCCATGTCAATGGGGTAGTGTGTAGGCGTGGTGCCCTGTGGCATCTACTTGCTCTCCCTCTCTCTTTTCCTCCCACTCATTGACCTCCTACTGGCTTCATGTGTCTTTTTTTCCAGCAAGGAGAGCACGGGGCGACAGCAACGGTGGTGCAGCAACAAGGAAGATCAGATTACCTCTGCGCGCTTCTCAAGGTAAGTCGCCTTCTTCTTACCCCTGCCCCTTATTCCTTTCGCCGCAATCACCTCGACTCTGCATAGGGCACACACCGTGGTAAGCTCACATGTGTGTCCTCTCGCCCTTCCTCCTCTCGCGGCTTTATCTGCCTCGCCCACTCTCCCTCGCCTGTGTCGACTTGTGCTGACTTGTTTGGGCTTGTGTTAGATCGTTCTGTCGTTCGTTGGCTTGTAGTGTCTTGTGTTTACCTGTTTTCTCTTGTCTTAGCTCACCTTTTCTTTTTTGACTTGTGGTCAATTTTGTGTGCTTCTATTGACTTGTGTCCTTTTGTGGTGGTTCTTAATGGCCTTCCCTAACTTGTTTAGGCTTGTGTTAGCTTGTTCCGACATCTGTTGGCTTGTCTGAACTTGTTTTGGCTCCTCTCGCTCATGTGTTCCCTGTTTCGCCTTTCCATGTATGAAGCAGAAATGGACTGGGGGAAGAGGCTGCAGACATAGCAAGCAGCGGCGCAACTCGGTAAGAACCGTCCCTCATTCTCCTATAATCCTACCCCTCCTGCTCCTTCGCCATTAATTTTCCTGTTACCACACCGTGCGATAGAATTGCAGAGCATACCACTGACTGCAGGTGAGAGTCACTACAACTAGGTGCATCTCTCCCCTCTCTCTCTCTCTTTCCCTCAACTAGTCCAATCTCTTGCATCGCACTTGCTGCTGACGCACTTGCTGCTAGGCGGCACACTTGCGGCTGGCACACTTGCTTGCATACATTAGCGTACCATCAGCTAGCCCATATGCTTTCTGCTGGCGCCGTCCCCTTTGCGCCACTAGTGTTCATGCCATGCACCTTTCATTATCCCTCTCTAACCTTTCGTTCTACACTCGATGCCCTTCCGTTTCTCCTCGTCACCTTCCTGTCTCTATTCCCTAACTTTCACTTTCAGTTTAGTTTCTTTCTCTCCCCACTATGCACCTTGCCTTTTGTCCTTTGCTACACAGCCAGTCCTCTCGATTGGGCTCTTTTGATTTTGCCAGTTAGCGAACTTACCAATTCACCTACATGTAAGCCATTTGCTGCAATGTGTAAGTCGTAAGTTCCTCAGTAGTATTTTGCATTTCGGTCTCTCATTGCCTGTTCTGGTTTGCAACCTACCACATTGTCAAATCATGCTCCTCTTTCTGCTCTTACCCTTTGGTGCAGACCATACCATAACTGAAGAAATCTGCATTTTGCTCTACAAATAAATAGGGGCGTGGAGAATGGGTGGGAAGGAATGGCGAAAGGGGGGGGGGGGGGGGGGAGGGGGGGGGGGGAGGAGGGGGGGGGGAGGAGGGGGGGGGGGGTGGAGGAGGGAGGGGAGGGAAGGAGGAGTGGGATGGGGTGGAACAGGTGGTTGGAGAGGTTAGCTGGTTGATATGTGGTTCTACATGCCTAGGTTTTAGTTGTGCCTGCTGCTCTTAATCTCCGTGTGCATATGTCAATGTGATGTGGTGTGGGTTGTGTCTGCCTCAAGCGTGTTGCTTATAGGCTAGGTGTTGCAGTTAGAGATTGCCATTGTGCCTGGGGCAACTCCGATGTCAACGCGCACCCCATCAATCTCATGCCTTTAGGCATTCGTTTTATGGCATTTGCAATCTTACGTGATGTTTAATTATACAACATTTGTTGAAATATGTCATACGGTCGAATTGTTTCATCTGCCGTACTTATCGACGAGATGGAGCAGTTTGACATTTGGGTTGGACATTTTGGATTTGCATTGAACAGTAACTTCGAAATACTGTTCATATCAGTGCTCCTAAATGTGAAACCGATTTTACAGGGTTGCTATGCAACCAAAAAAAAAAAAAAGTTTCGACACCTTGCGCCGGATGGGTTGCGTATGTAGTTGGGGTAGGTTAATCATATTGTTATATATTTTATTGCATACATATTAGCATATTTATGCATGGTGTATTTTAAATCCCTAATATGCATGCATCTTGTTAAACAGCAAATGTTGTACACAGCAAAGAAGGTTAGACACGTCATTAATTCTCGAATGATACATCTTATCTACTGTATTAAGGTCATGAAAAAAAGAATATACCATTAAAGAGTTATATGAAATTATGAAGGTTCAAAATATCTATAACATGCGTATAATCTAAGAAAGCTCAATCAAAGTAGTGATAACTTTTTCAAAACGGGAGGTACTGTATTTTTTTATAAACCATTTTCCACATATACTGTATGTTTCTTAGGTTAGACATTTGGGACTTAGTTTGGGGAAGCTTTGCTGACGTGCTGAGGGTTTGGTTTGGCGGTGGTATTGCCCCTCCTAGCCGTGAAGGCTCCCATCACCTGCCAATCTTGTTTCTCGTCATGTAGGCCGTAGGTGCTAGGTAGCCATCCTGACAAATCAAACTAGGAGATTGCTGCCGCCGCGTCAGTTAGAATCGCAGCGCCTGAGCACTGGCGCCACGCTCATCGGCACTAGGTGCGCAGGTGCTGCCACTTGCAGGCGCTAGCGCGCTGGCACTGCGCTCGCCGGCACGGCTGGCGCGCTGGCGCTATGTGCGCTGGCGCCGCGCTCGCCGGCGCTAAGCGAGCTGCCGCAGCGCTCGCCGGCACTAGGTGCGCTGCCGCCACGCTCGCCGCCACTAGGCGCGCTACTGCCGCGCTCGCTGCCGCTAGGCGCGCTGGCGCCGCGTTCGCCAGCGCTAGGCGTGGCAGGCGCGCTAGCGGTGCTCTTACTAGGCGCGCTGGCGTCGCTGCCCTCCTTGGCGCTCTGCCACCGTGACGCCCTGCTCGCTTACACAGAGTGCGTTGGCGCCAGGCACGGTGGGATCCTGGGTGCAGCCGCAAGCTGCCATGGCGCTACACTCACTGGCTAGGTGGCTGGTGGCCTGCCCAGCGTCGTGCTTCCTTGGTGGTCGGTGGTGAGTGATAGAAAAGTTCCCCTTGTTCCTTGCCGGGTTTCTGGCTATGGTGCCCAATTTGAAGGACACTGCGTCCCCCTTCTGGCAATTGAGTCGGTGGCAGGTGAGTCTCTCGCTTGTGGTTTGATTGGGTATGAGCAGGTGGTGTGACAATTGCTTCTATTGCTTTTCCTGTCTCCTCACCCTCCGCTTCCCTTCGCATCGCCTGTTGTTATTTTCACCCTTCCTGTAGCAGCTGTACCCTAGCAGCAAACTAGTAGTAGTAACAGCACGTAGCAGTACCTAGCAGCACCAGGCAGCTACGCTACCTGCTATGCGTAGCAGCAACGCCTAGTACTAATGGCAGTATTACTAACAACAACGCCTAGTAATAATAGCAGCATTACTCGCAGCAGCGCCTAGTATAATTAACAGCAGCGCCTAGTATTGTTAAGAGCAGCGCGGCAGAGCCTTGTATTATATTACTAATACTAGCACCTGGTATTACTAATAGCAGCGCCTAGTACTACTATTAGCAGCACCTAGTATTACCAATAGCAGCACCTAACACTAGTAGCAGCCCCTAGTAATGGCACCAGCGCCTAACACCAGTAACACTACCTAGCAACACCTGGCAGCACCTAGTAGCACCTGGCAGCTACACCTACAGCCTAGCAGCAACGCCTAGTACTAATAGCAGTAACACTATCAACAGTGCCTAGTATTACTAACGGCAGTGCATAGTACTATATTGCTAATAGCAGCACCTAGTATTACTAATAGCATCGCCTAGTATTACTAATAGCAGCACCTAGTATTACTAATAGCATCGCCTAGTATTACTAATAGCAGCGCCTAACACTAATAGCAGCCCCTAATAACAGCACTAGTGCCTAATACCAGTGGCAGCGCCTAGCAGCTACGCCTAGCTTCTATAGCACATAGCACCAGCGCCTAGCAGATGGGTGCTTACCAGTAGCATTTAATAGTAGCATCCAACACCTGTGTCTAGCACTTAGGCGCCTAATTGTCCGCAACCGTCACAAGTTTGGAAGTCGTTCTCGAATGAGGTTGTCTCTGACTTCTTATTCCTTGCATGTTTTCTTCTTCCAACATTTGTTTCTTTTGCGACTTTTCCACATTAAGCAGCTCTTCGCTCTTCTTATTTGTAAGCGAATACATTCTCGCATCGTGCACTTTATCATGTTACCCTTCCTACTTCCCCCTTTCACTTGTTTTTCTCCCTTTCTGTTTTTGTTCAAAGTTTGATATAGGTGATTGAACCCTCCCTTTTCCTCCCTCTTTGATTTTATCTCTCTCCTCTTTCCCTTTCGCTTTCCCATGTCTTTACCTTTTCTTCTCCTTGAATAGTCTTTTCTTTCTCTTCTCTCTAATCATTTTCGTCCTTTACTTCTCCTTTTTTCCTTGAATAGTCTTTTCATTCCGTTGCCATATGTCGTCCTCACTTCTTTGGCCCTCCTTTCTCCTTGTAATCATTTATGCATTTCCCCCAATCATACTTGTACCATGTAGCCTTCATGCTTGGTTTCTTACACTTTTTTACAATTCTCCATTTGAATTTTCTTGTCCAGGCTCTATATTAACAGCTACGTGCGCTGCCACATTAGAGAACAGGAAGGAGGAAGGGGGAGGGGAAGAGGGTGAGTGGGGGTGGGGGGAAAGGCACGTATTGGACTTGAAAGAGGAGGGAGGAAAGGAGGTAGGGGAGGAGGGGAGGAGGGGAGGAGGGAGGAACACGGTAAACAAGGGTGGGTGGGTAGGACAATGCGCCAGCTTGGTCAGCAATACTGATAAGTATATTATATTTTTTTTCTATCTTTTGGCTAATTTGCTTTGCTATGCATCGCTTGTGTGCACTCTGAATGTGTGTGCATCCAACATGTGTGATTCTCTTCTTTTTTTTCTTCCTGCATGTTTTCGTTGTGTCGGTTTGATTCTATTGTTCTTGTTATTGCATATCACGTAGGGCTTTGTTTGTCATTCGTTGTGTGCGGTCCTGTTCTTGACTGTTCTCTATTTGTATTGGAGTGTTGTGTTTGTAAGTGTTGGCTTGAAGCATTGGTTTGGTGTATTGTGTGATTTGTGATTCCTTGTGTGTGTTGGCACACTCTGTTGCAGTTTATCGGATGCACTTGTGCCGTTTTGGTGTGCGTGCATAGGGGCGGGGTGCATATATGCCAAGTGCTACACACCGTTTAAGATTGTCGTTATCAATTTGACAGCTTTGCTCCCAAAGTGTACATGTCTATCTCTGCTGCAGCATGGAAGCATTCGTGTATCCTCCTTGTTGCATGCATCACTGCCTCGCGTGCGATTCCTCATGTGTGTTTGCACGCTATCGACGCACTCTGTTACAGACGCGTCGACAACGACTTGTCCCTTGCTATATGTTGGTCTCAGACGCAATCATAAGTGACTCAAAGGAATCTCCCATTGCCCGTATATCGGGGGTTTTGGGCGCCAGGTTGAGCTGCGATAAGGTTGGGCATCGTCTGTAATTGATCAGCTCCCCTTCCCTCCCCTCCCCCCCGCCCCTTTCCTAGTGGGATGGGAGGTAGGGGTGCCGAGTTCGCGTCGCACTCCTCTTTGATCCTCCTTACCTTCGAATTTGACTTTCGGCTCGGACAGAACGAGCCGAGATGAGCGGTAGGGGACACACCCTCGTCTGTCAGGTAAGGTGGACTTCCAGTGACCAGTCAAGTCAAGGTTTGCGAGCCTGCGTGAGTGGCTCGGTGATATTGTTTGGCAAAGTACAGTACATATGTCCTTTCCAAGCCCAGTTGTTTTCCGAGCGAGTACTCCAGAATCAAGCGCGAAACTTTCACGGGCGAAATGGGCCAATATTGGCATTTTTCAGTCTAAAGCGGGTGACCATTGTTGTTTCTTTTGCGTTCCTCAGGCAACAGTGTGAGGCCTCAGAACGTCCCGTATCAGATCTCAGTATCAGATGTGGTAACTGATGGAGATCATTGGTCCTCTGTAGGCTGGGCCGTTACCCGTGTTTTCGAACTAATAGGCTTGTAGATGAGCAAGTGGCGTCTAGTGAAAAAGCGGATCACTGGAATAAAGGTGTGCTGTGGGAATTTTGAGCCTCCGAGAGTGGAGCAGGATTTGATTATATTACCTCTGGCGATATTAATGGTCAACCAACCCCCCATGCCGGCCTCGTTCTGCGCGCGATCCACCACAACCCAGAGCGCGCGATCCGGCGCGCAGCCAACACGGAGGCAGGCAGGAAGATCGAGCGAGCAGACGCGGAGCCGGCGGAATGGCTTCGACGATGCTGGCGGAAGCGGAAATCTGGGAAACATATGGGGAGACTTCTGCAGGAACCCTTCAGAGCTCGCGAGAAACCATTGCCCTGTTCCTCCAGAGATATAACCACTGCCTCGGGCAAATCTCCTTTCCTGCTTCCTCATCTTCCACTCTCGGTAGAGCGAACCCCCCCGTGTTTTGCGGGTCTCGTTAGCCCACAGCGCCGCGAGCAGCCAGTGTCACGCTGCAGGCAGGCAGGCAGGACGGTCGAGCCGAAGCAAAGGCGACGAAATGGACTCCATTTCGGACGCGGCGCCGAGCTTGCTGGCGATAGCCGGGATTCTGAAGCAGTCAGCTGACGGCATGGCGGCGTGGTCGGTGGAGGATCTGACGCTGGGGCTGTACCGCCTCAGCCTGAAGCACGCCGCCGGGAAAGACGTCGACGCCATTCCGGGCGATGTCGTCCGCAACAGGTACGGATGGCCATGGGGATGGTGAATAGTGGTGGTGGGTGTGGTGGTGGTGGATTGTTGTAAGTGAGCGTGGGGGGAGAGGGAGAGGGAAGGAGAGGGTGGGAAGAGGAGCAGGTCATGCGCTATTCGCCGCTTTTCTTGCGGCATTATCGTTAGCTAGCAGCCCCAGCCGTGAGATGCCAGGGGCATCTAGCCTACGGCGGTGTACGTCAGCCATCCCCATGTTCCATCTACCGCCCCTGCTGCCCCTGGTATTCCCACCGGCGCTACCCCTAAACCCATCTGTTCCAGCGGGCGGTAGATGGAACATGGGGATGGCTGACGTATGCCAGGGGCATCTAGCCGCCGGTGGGAATACCAGGGGCAGCAGGGGCGACAGGGGCGGTTGGGGAGGCAGGGGCGGTAGATGGAACATGGGGATGGCTGACGTACGCTGGGAGTTTTTTTCCAACTCTGTATCCTGCTGCTGAGACACCAGGTGGGTGGATTGGTGGATGGGTGGATGGGGGGGTGGATGGGTGGATGGTGGGGTGGATGGGTGGATGGGGGGGTGGATTGGTGGATGGGTGGGTGGATTGCTGGATAGGTGGGTGGATTGGTGGATGGAGCTAGGTGGCAGGACCATTAGTGAGCTGTGGCCAGGGTTGAGCTAGTTTATCGCGTGTCCATCTTGTCACCTTCCTTTTGTTGCCACCTCACTGCTCTCGTATGTGCTACCTGTTCCCCTACCCGGCCCGTCTGATGCACTGGTGATGAATGCCTGGCAGCCAAGAGCGCTCCCAAATCCGCTACTGCCACATCTGTGCCTGCTGCGGCAAAGGCAGGTGGGTGCTGCTTAGGTGGGTGGGTGGGTGGGTGTGTGGGGGGGTGGGGGATTGGGGGGTGGAGGGTTGCTGGAAGGACTGTGGAGCACATGCTATGGTGGAAGAGGGGCTTCTGGGGAGGAGGTGTCAGGGCATAGTGCCTGGATTTTTTTCACCTCCTTTCACCTTCCTATATTGTCTGTCGGCCTCACTGCTCTCGTCTGTGCTACCCGTTCTCCCACCCACCCCTCCAATTCGCTACTATTGAGTGCCTCGCTTGCAGCCAATGTCGTTCCCGAAACCCCTGCTGTGGTCCCTGTTCGCCTGGTGGCGCCGGGGCAGCTGTACCACATTCTGCGCAAAGCGCCCGCCTCTCTGCAAGAGCAGTTCAACCTCCCCCCTCTGCCGGCCAAGCGGGAGAAGCATGCAGAGGAGAAGTTGTTTGTGGAGGAGGAGACAGACATGGACAAGCGAGGGATGTTTGACGCGCAGAAGCAGCAGAACGGGGTAGCAGTGGGGGGCGAGGTGAAGGAAGAAGCGCCTGCGCCTGCGCCTGCGCCGGCGGTCGTGGCGGGACCTGCTGTGTCGCATGTGGTGGTGCGCGGAGCTGACCCTAAGCCCCGGTTTCTGCGCATCATTCTGAGTGATGCGCTGCTTGCTGACCATAGCTGCAAGCTGTACGGGAAGGGGATCATAGATGCCATGCAATGGTGCATGTAGGTTAGAGTGTTGATATGGCTTTAGGTATTGGTGTTTTACCTCTCAAAATAACGCAATGAATTAGAATGAGTGATACACGGTGGTTTTGTCCTAAGGAGTTGTACTTGTTAAAATTATATAAGTTATAATTTAATATAGGCTTGGTAGGTTGTTACTGAACCTTTCTGTAGGGGGTACAAACCCCTCCTTGTACTCCCCTCTCTTCCTAATCGAACCCCTCTTTTCTCTCCACAACTTTCCTAGCACCTAAAACCTCTCGCCATTCTCATGGCTCCTCCTAGCTCCTAGCTAAACCTTGTGCCATTCTATGGCTTCCTAGCTAAGCTAGTTTCTGACATGGTATCAGAGCAGTTCGTTCCGCGTGGGCCTGCTCCTCGCGTTTCCGCTGCGTGCTCGTTTCTCTCTCTATCTCGCGCTGCCATGGCGGCCGCGTCAAGCTGCTGTGGCCGCGTCGTCGTGCCGCGGCGCCGCCGTCGACGTCCATGGCGCCCGCGTCCAGCTGCTGTGGCCGCGCCGTCGTGCCGCAGCTCCGCCGTCGCGTCAAGATGCTGTCGCGACGTGACGGCGCCGTCACGCTGCCGCGGCGTCTACGCGACAGCGCGCGGTCGGCGTAACGGCGACGTCGTGCTGCCGTCGCAACGTCGACGCCCCGCTGCGGCATCGACGCCGCTCCATGACGGCGTCGTCGGGCTGCAGCCGGCCGCGTGACGCTTGTGGCGCCGCTAGACCGGCCGCCCGCATGTCAGCCTGTGGCGCCCCCCCCCCCCCCACCCCCCTCCTTCCCTTGTGCCCTCTTCCATTCCGCAGACGACGGCTGACTCCCGCCGGCCGTCCCACCGTCGCGGGGCCTGGCCACGTCACCGAGAGGTGCGGGTGCCGCCGCCGCTGCCGCTGTTGTCGAAGCCGCCGCCGCCGCCGCTGTCGCCGCTTGCGTCGGGGCCACGCAGCCGCACGCCGCCGCCGCCGCCGCTGTCGACACTGCCGCCGCTGCCGCCGTCGCCGCCGCAGCCCCTGCGGTCGACGTCGCCGCCTCACGCGCCGTGGGGTCGACCGACCTAGAGTCGCTGTCACTGTGGCTGGAATGGGGGTGCTAGGTTAGGGGGTGGGGGTGTGAGTGGGCTTGACACTACCAAGCCTAGGGGGTGTGTTAAAATTATATAAGTTATAATTTTATATAGGCTTGGTAGGTTGCTACTGAACCTTTCTGTAGGGGGTACAAACCCCTCCTTGTACTCCCTTCTCTTCCTAATCGAACCCTTCTTTCTCGTCACTTTTGCCTACCCCTAGATAAACTTCTCCTCACGATATTCCATGGCGTCACTTCTAGTATCCTAGCCTACCTAGCCTCCTAAGTTTAAGAGGCTCGTGTCCTAAGTTTCTAAGATGGTATCAGAGCCGGTCGTGTCCACCGGACCCTCTCCCTACGTACCCGTTGCGTACTCCTGCTGCATTCGCAGCCTTCGCGGTTTTCTGCCTGCCTGCCGTCGCGACGCCAGGATGTCGCGTCGGCCCCTTGTTACCTGCCGTCGCGGCACCAAGGTGTCGCGACGGCCCCTGGTTGCCCGCCGTCGCGGCACCAAGGTGTCGCGACGGCCCCTCGTTGCCTGCCGTCGCGGCGCCAAGGTGTCGCGACGGCCCCTTGGTGCAGCCGTCGCCCGTCCGCCTCACCGCTGCGACATTGACGGTGCGCTGCGGCGGCGTCTACGGCAGCCGACGGCATCGTCGGGCTGCGGCCGGCCGAGCGACATCTGTGGCGTCGCCGGGCCTGCCGCCCGCTCGCCAGCCACGGGCGTCCCTCAGGACGACGTCCTCCCGCCAGTAAGCGCCGCGCCATTTATGGCGCGTCGCTGAAGACTCGCCCCGCCCCCCCCCCCCCCCCCCCCATTCTCCCTTCCCCCTGCGTCTTCCCCTCCTCCTGTCGCAGCTGCTGTCTTCTGCCCGGACGTTGCCACATCACCGAGAGCCCTCAGCCGCGGCGGTCGCCGCCTGTTGTCGGCGACCCAGCCGCCTTGAGCCAGAGCTCCGCCGCTGCTTGTCGCTGACCTGCCCAGACGCCGTAGGCTGCCTCGTGTACGGGGGTGTGTCAACGCTTTGCACGAGGGTCAGATACCCGGCTAAGCACGAGCTTGAGGGTGTGCGGGGTTAGGGGGTGGGTTGGGTGGGTGTGCGACTACCAAGCCTAGGGGGTGTGTTAAAATTATATAAGTTATAATTTAATATAGGCTTGGTAGGTTGTTACTGAACCTTTCTGTAGGGGGTACAAACCCCTCCTTGTACTCCCCTCTCTTCCTAATCGAACCCCTCTTTTCTCTCCACAACTTTCCTAGCACCTAAAACCTCTCGCCATTCTCATGGCTCCTCCTAGCTCCTAGCTAAACCTTGTGCCATTCTATGGCTTCCTAGCTAAGCTAGTTTCTGACAGTACTTTCTATGAGCATGCACCTATCGAGCCTATAACATATACAAGTATACCGTATTCCCCCGTATATAACACCCTAGGGTATTGTCAAAATTTCATAAAAAAAACGTATGGGTGTTAACAGTAGGCTGGAAAAATAAAACACCCATGTCTTATGTAAAATGCAAAATGAATTTGGGTTGTAACACGCACTCTGAGGCCTAAACTTCACCGGGCATCTGCTAACGAGGAATCTGCTACAGAGATTGCGTACTCTGACAGGGTCAGTTTAGTGCCTTTGAAAACGGTGGGAGATTGATGCTGCAGTAGTGCCAGGTGTCATTGACCAATCTCGTAAGAGTGCTGTGAACAGAGTCACGACCATGCTGACGCGATCGAGGTGGTTCAACAGCAAGATGGACGGTCGAGATCCTCTCGACACTTTTTGTCTTTCGATTTCATGTTGCCACTTGTATTGATTCTTCTGCCCGTCTTTGCGCTACGAATGGCAGCTGACGCGATTTTAATCGTGTTCGTATTTTTGCAGCTGAGCGAACCTTGATAATGAAGGACAGAATACTATTTAAAGGCAAGAAAAACGCGCAGGGTGTTATGTAAAATGCAAACCCAGAAAAGCGGGTACTCTAAAAAATGCGTCATATCATAAGCTATCCCCCGCATAAGCCACCCGTGGGCTGACTATTTCGGCGGGTCTTATATACGGGGGATTACGGTATGTTGACACACCCCCTAGGCTAGACAAAGGGCCACGACTAGCAAGAGACACGCAGCTCAGGGTGGCACTACTAATCCAACCTTTGAGGCAAGGGTCTGAAGACCAGTCAGCAAGAGTACAAAGGAAACAAGAGTAACCCATTGTCAACATATATCTTTTATATTTTATAGGCTAGATAGGTGCATGCTCATATAGAGTACAACACCTTAGGTTATATTCCCTTAAACCCCATCATTCTAGTCAAAAATTTACTCTGAGATGGTATCACGCAAGGTAAGGATCCCGCCCACCCGCGCTTCCGCCCTCGTCCTAGCCCTAGCCCAAGCCGCCCGTCGCTAGCCGCCCGTTCCTAGCCGCCCGTCGCTAGCCGCCCGTCGCTCATAGCCGCCAGCTGCCCGCCGCCCGTTGATCGCAGCCAGCTGGCCGCCTGTTGCCGCTGGCCTCCCGTAGCCGCCAGCCGCCCGTAGCCGCCAGCCTGCTGGCCGCCCTTAGCCGCCAGCTGCCAGCCGCCCGTTGCTGTCGCACGTCGCCGCCAGCTGCCCGTAGCCCGCTGGCCGCCTGTCGCCGCCTGTACCTGTAGCCGCCCGCGGCCCGTCCCCGCCAGCCCGCTGGCCGCCCTTAGTCACCAGCTGCCCGCCGCCCGTCGCTGCCGCTCATAGCCGCCAGCTGCCCATAGCCCGCTGGCCGCCTGTCGCCGCCTATAGCCGCCAGCCGCCCTCCGCCGCTGGCCGCCTGTCACCGCTGGCCGCCCGTCGCCGCCAGCCCGCCTGTCCCCGCTGGACGCCCGTTGCCGCCAGCCCGCCTGTCCCCGCTGGCCGCCCGCTACCGCCAGCTGCCCGTAGCCGCTGGCCGCCCGTAGCTGCTGGCCGCCTGTAACCGCCAGCCGCCAGTAGCCGCTGGCCGCCCGTTGCCACCAGCTGCCCGTAGCTGCTGGACGCTCGTAGCCGCCAGCCACCCGTTGCCGCTGGCCGCCCGCTGCCGCCAGCCGCCCGTAGCCGCTGACCGCTTGTAGCCTCCAGCCGCCAGTACCCGCTGGCCGCACGTCCCCGCTGGCTGCCCATTGCCGCCAGCTCGCCCGTAGCCGTTGATCCGCCTGTAGCCGCCCTCCCGTCTCCGCCAGACGCCCGTAGCTGCCAGCCGCCGCTCTCCACCCCGCCGGCCTTGGCTTCCCCTCTAAGCCGGCACTCCTGCCGGCAGTCTCCACCACACTTCACCGCTTTCCACCGCACTTCACCGCTCCCCACCACACTCCACCGCACTCCACCATACTCCACCGGTCTCCACTGCCCTCCTCCGCTTTCTCTCCTCCCCTTGTCAGCGGCAGTCAGCTGCTGCAGCCGTGGTGATGGCGGACTCTCTACTCCGCCTGGATGCGGAGGGTCAGGCCGTTGAGTTTGAGGCGTGGCTCATCGACCTCCGCCACCAGCTGACCGGGCAGTGCCAGGATGGCCACTCCCTGGCCGTCCATGTCGACGGTAAGCTCCCTCTCCCCGCCCCCCCTGCTGCCCTCCCTGACGCCCCCATGTCTGATGAGCGTGAAGCTTTTGTCGCTGCTGAGCTTGCCTGCACTGTCTGGGATTTGCATGACGCCATTGCTCTGCTTGCCATTAGTCACGCCCTCCCCTTGTCTGATCGTCCCCGCTTTACCACTGTCTCAAACGCCAAGGAATACTTAGATGCCGTCATCGCGCGCTATTCCACCGCCGCCTCAGCCTCTGCCGGCCGCCTGATCCTCCCCATACTGTTCCCTGACCTTGCGTCCTTCCCCACTGTTGCTGACCTTGCCACTCTACTCTGCATGCTAGAGAATAGCTACCGCACTGCTAGCACTCAGGCACAGCTCACTGCCTTCCCGCCGCCGCTTTGCGCTACCCTTTACATCATTGCCATGCGCATGCATGACCGCCTAGCCACTGCCAGCATCTTGGCTGAGAGGGTATGCGAGATCTGGACGAGTGCAAGTCATCAGGTATATGAGGCAACCCACCAGCTCTGCGTAAGGACCACTAGGCTCTACAGACTCCTCAGGAACTGGGGCCGAGAGCATGTGATCTACTGGCAGAGGTGTGGCTGTGCGGAGGAGAACCGAAGACCGAATCTCTGAAGGACCTGGCGCACCAAGTGTGACTTTGTCAGAGTGATGGTGCACGCTGCTCTGTCCTTGGAGATCTGCACGCCAAGGTAGGGGCGCAGCTCTCCTAGGTCAGTGCAGCTGTGTCTCTTCAGCAGCTCAGCCTTCACGGAGGCCAGTGCCTCTCTATCTGCAGTAGCGAAGACCAAGTCGTATACGTAGACAAGGATGTAGAACGGGGTCTGGTCAGAACGAACGAAGAGCGGGGGGTCTGCAGACGACGGGCAGATTTGCAGGTCAGCTAACGTAGCACACAACGTGTCATGCCACTCACGGGGTGCCTGCCATAGGCCTTAAAGCAGGCGTCGGAGAAGCCACAATGTCCCAGGGGCGAAGGTGCCAGTGAAGCCTGGTGGGCAGCGCAGGTAGACCTGCTCGTGCAGATTGCCCTGAAGAAACGCTGTAGAGAAGTCGAGGGAGTGCAGCTCGTGGTCAAGTTGTGCTGCTAGGTGTAGCAGCGCCCGAAGAGTGGTCATCTTCAGGGCCTCCTTGTCGTCTATCAGGTAGTTTAGTTCTGCCCCGTGTAGTTTCTTGCTGAGGTAGGCAATTGGTTGCAGTCCATTCCCCTGGTCCCACTGCTTGGTCACTAGCGTCAGCTTCGATGACGTAGTCGCACTCGGGGTCTGGCAAGATGAGTATGGGTGCGGACGTGAGTGCTTGTTTTTGCTGCCCCACGGCTTTCTGATGTTTTGGTTCCCACTTATAGGGCGTGTTCATCTTGAGCAGATTCGTGAGTGGTGTTGTGATTTTCGCGTACTATGGCACGAACCTGTTGTAATAGTTAGCGAAGCCTAGGAACTGCTGCAACTCCTTCACGTTCTCGGGTGTCTTCCACGTGCGTACAGCTTCGATCTTCTTGGGGTCGATGTGAACTCCTTGAGCGCTCACCATGTGTCCTAGGAATTGGACTTTCTCGAGGGCGAATTCGCTTTTGGATAATTTGACATAGAATCGTTCTCGTCGAAGAATGTCGAAGACGCGCCGCAGGTGTTGGACGTGCTGCTACATCTTGCGCGAGTAGATGAGGATGTCATCCAGGTATACCACCACACATTCGTCCAAGAGTGGGCATAGAATGTGGTTCATTTCGGCTTGGAACGTTGCCGGTGCATTGGTGAGTCCGAACGGCATTACCGGACACTCGTATGACCCATACCGAGTTCGGAAGGCACTTTTGTGGATGGAATTGTCCGTCATTCGTATCTGCTAGTATCCGTACCGCAGATCGAGTTTGGAAAATACCGTGGCTCCCCGAAGCTGGTCAAGTAGGTCATCGATTCATGGAATTGGGTATTTGTTCTTGATGGTCAGCTTGTTGAGAGCTCGGTAATCGATGCACATGTGCAGGCTTCCGTCTGGCTTTGGTGTGAAGAGTACTAGGGCACCGTATAGAGAAGTAGATGGTTGGATGAGTCCTTTTGCGAGGAGATAGTCGATCTATTTCTTCATGTCGGCTAGCTCCGTGGGGCTGAGCCGATATGGTGCTCGGAAGGTCGGCTTCGAACCTGGTTCTTCCACGATCTCGTGCTGGTGCGTTCAGTATGGCGGCAGCTCATTCAGAAGATCGTCGGGAAGAATGTGTTGGAACTCCTTTTAGTAATTCCTTGATTTTTTTTGTGGAGGTTCCGAGGCTTTCTGTCCGTCGCTTTCCACATCTGTCAATATCGCGAGGAATCTGGTGTTGGTTCGCTTTACGTCCTTCTCGAATCTTGCGAGTGCCTCCACTGGAATATCTCCTGTATCGTCCCAGTTGGGTAGCTGGACTCTCCTTCCGTTGTTGTATATGCTTGCGGTACGATTTACCCAGTTGATCTCGGGGTTGAATCTTTTACGAAATCTCGCCCGAAGATCAAGTCAAGCCCTTTTATGTCAAGTCAAGTGCAGGTTTCCAGAGCAGTGGTCCGATTTATAGGTGTAACACTGCTTCGCCGTGCACTGGTAACTTGATGTTGTCCACCATCGTGGCACAGAATGCTGAAGGCTTGTACTCTTCCCGAAGTCGGCCGATTACTGCCTTGTCGCA